CAAATTTCCCTGTGCACCCAGGAATGATGGTAGCCCTGAAGCCAATTGAGGACATAATTGAGGTAAAATTTAGCAGGAAAAGAAAACAGAAAAAAGGGAGAGCATGGAATCACAGTTGAAAGTAGCAGTAGTAAATCTTTCTCCACATGGCGACATACCTTTGATCGGATGGAGACTTGGAGAAATCATGCAGGTAGGTCAAAGCTGAGCCTGCAGCTAAGACACCAGTGATGAGGTGGTCTCCTGGCCTATAATGATTAAGTGCACCTTGTCGATCATTTATCACAGCAAATTGGCATTTCCCCTTCAGCGTCCCACAGGACGAATGGGGCATCATTAGCAAAAGAATTAGGGAGATTATCATTTCACTGTTGTCTGTCATTGCTGCTGCTGCGCTCCCTTCTGCCTGACCGCTCTCAGCTGCTGATCGGCTGCAGTGCCTTCTTAATCCAGATGGGAGTCCAGCTGTGGTTTCAGCAATAAAAGAGCTAATATTTAAACCTCACCTCCGCCTAGTCCCTGCCTGCCCTGAATTTGTGTCCAAGCTCTCAGTGGCCCCAGAGATATTAATGCACCAGCCTTTCCACATTGGGTAAACAAAGTTTTTACGTGCTGTTTTTAAGTGCGGTGTGGCTTTGCGCACTGTCTACTGTCGCAGCTCAACTCCCTGAGGTTGGAAGGGATGTTTGATCCTCCATTGCATTAGGAAGGATTCAGATTTACAAAACATGCACTCGTTCTTTCGAAACTTCATGAACTTATCAAGCTGTCTCGTAGGAAGTCAAAACAGCCCAAAGTTGCCTAGAATTTTCTAGAATCCCAGATAGTCTTTTCCAACCCTGTTTCTTGAGATACCTTTGTGCAAATCAGGTACCCCCATGGAAGTGCAATACTTAACTAATTGGGAACCGTTGCTTTAAGGGGTTACAAGACACTCATTGGTTTGTGCAGCTTCGATTTCCTGTTCCTGAAACTGAAACTTGTCTGGAGAAGTGGCTGGGCATTGCTTTTACCATAACAGAGCTTCGGTCTTGGAATAAAAGGAGTGGCTCGGAAATACAGTGGTACCTCAGGTTACATACGCTTCAGGTTACAGACTCCGCTAACCCAGAAATAGTGCCTCAGGTTAAGACATTTGCTTCAGGATGAGAACAGAAATCGTGCTCTGGCGGTGCAGCGGCAGAGGGAGGCCCCATTAGCTAATGTGGTGCTTCAGGTTAAGAACAGTTTCAGGTTAAGTATGGACCTCCGGAACGAATTAAGTACTTAAACTGAGGTACCACTGTACTGCAGACATCAAATAGTATGGGAAACAGCCTTACTAGGAAAAATAACCAATGTACTGAAACTGACACGGGGACAAATAGAAGACACCTTCACCCTGGTATGGCTCTCCTTTATCGCATACATAGCCCAATAAGACAATGACAAAAATCCACCAACAGCATACAAATCAATATGGGTGACTTGATCCAAAACAACCACCCACCCCACTTACACATGAAAACAAAGATCACCACAGCCAATCACAAATGAACAACCACACCCTAGGCCAACCCCAACCTCTCTCACCACCAAAGGAACACAAGTGAATAGCAGAGAACCTCAACAAATGTCTCAACAAATGAAACGGATCTGTAAAAAATGGTACTTAAAAAAAAAAGATAGATTGCACATTAAAAAGGAAAAAAGAAACACTGAAGACACACCATGCATAGCTTTTGGGTACTCCTGGATCCTTTGCTGTCACTCGAGGTGCAGGATCCGATATAAGTATCTCAAGTAAGGCCTCAGTGGCCCAGAGCACCTTCCATCAGCTTTGGCTGGTGCACCAGCTATCCCCATATCTGGACAGGGATATCCTAACTACTGTTGCCAATGCTCAGGTAAGCTGAAGGTTAGATTACTGCAATGTGTTATATGTAGGGCTGCCTCTGAAGATGGTTCAGAAACTTCTGCTGGTGTAGAATTCAGCGGCCAGGTTGCTCACTGGAGCAAGACGGTTTGAGCATACAGTGGTACCTCGGGTTACATACGCTTTAGGTTACATACGCTTCAGGTTACAGACTCTGCTAACCCAGAAATATTACCTCGGGTTAAGAACTTTGCTTCAGGATGGGAACAGAAATTGTGCAGTTGCAGCGGCAGGCCCCATTAGCTAAAGTGGTGCTTCAGGTTAAGAACAGTTTCAGGTTAAGAACAGACCTCCAGAACGAATTAAGTTCTTAACCCAAGGTACCACTGTATTAGTTTCTAGATCCAATTCAAAGTGCTGGTTTTGACCTATAAAGCCTCAAACGGCTCACCACTGCAATACCTCAAGGACTTCCTCTTTCCATATGAACCTACTCAGACCCTGAGATCATCTTCTGACACCCTCCTTCATGTGCCTCCTCCTCGAGAGATCCAGAGGTCCAACACAAGAACGGGCCTTCTCTGCAGTGACTCCCTGTCTGTGGAATGCTTTCCCCAGGGAAGTTCACCTGGCGCCTTCATTATACAGCTTTAGGCACCAGGCAAAAACATTCCTTTATAATCAGACCTTTGGTTGACCTGAACAACATCCCATACCCTTTTAAAATGTGGCTGGATTTTTCGGGGGGGGGGGTAATTACTGGGTTATTGTTTTTGTTTTATATATTGCGATCTCTTTTGTGAACCGCCCTGAGACCTTTGGGTATAGGGAAGTATATAAATTCAACAAATAAATAAAATAATAAATTTAAAGTACACTGGCTTCCCCCAAAGAATCCCATGAACTGTAGTTTGCTACTCACAGAGCTACAATGCTCAGCATCCTTAACAAACTACAACTCCCAGGATCCTTTGGGGAAAGCCATATGCTTTAAATGTGCTTTTAACTGATGGTGCTTTGTGCGTGGATAAGCAGTTATAAAAGCTGTTGGGAAACTGTGTACATGCAGCTACTCACACAGAGTCAATTAAGGTTTGGCAGACAGCCAGAAGGCAAGCTGAAGGAGTAAGTCTGCCTGGTGATAACAGAGACATGGAGACAGCTCCCTGATTGGTCAAGCTCTCTCAAGGGAGTGATAATTAATGGCCTACTAACTGGAATGTGTTAGTTCGGAATTCATGAGGTTCAGAGTTCTGTGTCAGTGTAGGAGTTGTGAGTCGTGTCAGAGAGAGCTAGCAAAGGATCCGTGTTCTGTTCCTGTAAATAGTCCACTGTATATAATAAACACCTAACGACAAGTTCCTGGTTCCTGCTTCCTCTATCCTGTCTGCAGCCAAGTTGCCACTTGCTTCCGTGGATTCTGTGTGTACTCTGCTAGGTCTGGCTAAGGTTGCTAAACACCAAATAGGTTTTACCAATAGAAGCAGGTCCTCCTTACCTTCTGCTCATCTCTTAACCTAGGTTACCCCACAAGGTTGTTGTGAATGTATGCTGAGAGAACCACCACACAGATCCATTACAGGAGTAGATTTTGGGGGGCGGGGAGCTATGTGGAAATAAATGGTCAGCAGACATTTGAGCATGAAGGGTGAGGGCGAAAGAAGTAAAAGAACCAACTAAGACCATTTGATCAAGTTAAAGGTAAGTTAAATCGGTTACACTATTACCAGATTAATGAATTGTTCAAACTGGATAAGAAAAATGGTTTTGCTTCTGAAAAATCTAGGTTAGAGACGGAGTTGTTGGATAATAAAGGTAAAAAATTGTCTAAAACATGTAAGCTATTGCTGGAGTGGCATACAAAAGATGAACAAGTTAAATCTGCGACGATTGATTGGGCAAGAGATGTAGGACACAATATCATGTTCGAGGATTGGGAAATACTGTGGAAGAAATGGGTTAAGTTCACTGCATATACTGCGTTAAAGGAAAATATAATGAAAATGATGTACAGATTGTATTTAAAAGGTAAAGGTAAAGGTACCCCTGCCCGTACGGGCCAGTCTTGCCAGACTCTAGGGTTGTGCGCTCATCTCACTCTATAGGCCGGGAGCCAGTGCTGTCCGCAGACTCTTCCGGGTCACGTGGCCAGCGTGACATCGCTGCTCTGGCAAGCCAGCGCAGCACACGGAACACCGTTTACCTTCCCGCTAGTAAGCGGTCCCTATTTATCTACTTGCACCCGGGGGTGCTTTCGAACTGCTAGGTTGGCAGGCGCTGGGACCGAACGACAGGAGCGCACCCCGCCGCAGGGATTCGAACCGCCGACCTTTCGATCGGCAAGTCCTAGGTGCTGAGGCTTTAACCCACAGCGCCACCTGCGTCCCACAGATTGTATTTAACTCCTGTTAAATTAGCTAAGATATATCATAACTGTGATAATTTATGTTGGAAATGCAAAGAAAAAGAAGGAACTTTCTATCACATGTGGTGGCCTGCCCAAAGGTGAAAGACTTCTGGGAAAAGATATATAATGAATTGAAAAAAATGTTGAAATATATATTCACAAAGAAACCAGAGGCCTGGTTATTTTTGCATGTCACAACTGCTGCTCGTATTTTATTAGCTAAAAAGTGGAAAACCCAAGAATTACCAATGGTAGAAGAATGGCAGATGAAGATGATGGACTTTTCGGAGCTAGCTGACCTAAGAGTCCACGAGCAGGAGGAGGAGGAGGAGTACCAGGAAGAATGGGGGAAAAAATTAATGATTATTTAATTAAATATGTTAAGTTAAATTAGTTGGAAATAACTTGCAGATAACTAATTAGCTTAGGATTTTATATAGGTTAAATGATGAATCAATTTGTATAATTTAAAAATGAAAAGATTGAAAGATGTTAAAGCGAAAGGTAAATTTTATAAGAACTGTGATTTGGAAAACCGTTAAATGGATATGCATGGAAATTCAACCAAGCGGAAGCAAGGAAGTCACTTAACAATGTTAATAAGTATAATTTTTAATAAGATTATGATTTGTGGTTGTTTGTTTGTTTGTCTTGTTTGTTTATAATTTTGTGAAAATTAATAAAAAAAATGAAGAAAAAAGAACCAACCACAAAAATACAAACCTTTTATTGGATCAGTTCATTAAAAGCCATCCCAAATTCACCATTCTCATGCCCTAAACAAAACAAAAAAGTGAACACACGTGCTCTTTGTTCTTTAAAAAAATGAACATTTGCTTCATTCACAACTATAAAACAGATTGTAGTGAATAAAACAGGAGTGTTCTCTTATGGAATACTAAACCCTGAATTTACCGGGTTCAACCCCCAACCCTCCTCACATCAGGATCCTCTTCTCTCGCTGGGAAAAACAAAAATCTCACAGAAGGCTCCTCATTGGCTGAGAAACTCCCTTAAAGTACTAAGCAAACAGCCAAGGCGAATACAGAGATTCGGCCTACGATGCCACACCACGAGAAGAGTCATTTCCATGGATGGTGGAGTCAGGGGTGAGGAACAGTGGTAGAGGGAAATGTGAAGTGAGGAACGAGAGGCTGGAGGTCAGTGGGCAGGAGGACCTGTGGGGTGAAACATGGCTGCCTCAGGAGACAGAGAGGCAGGTTTTTTCGTCCAACCAGAAGATGGGGATAAGGGGCTCCCCCAAGAATGAAGCTGTCTGGAACTTGGCAAGCGCAGCGCCACTGTCAGCGTTGGCAAAGGACACCTGCTTCCCGTCACAGTTCAAGGACACTCTGATCCTCTTCAGCACCACTCCGCTCATGGGCACAGGAGTTTTGGGAGAGGTGAACATTGCATAGCCGCCTTTCCACTTGCCTATCGCCCAGATCCCTTCTGAGGGGCTAAAGGCAGCTGAGCTTCTCTTCTTCCTCTTCAAAGAAATCCTGGTCACGCCCACAGCCCAGTCGTCCTCACCGTGCACCGTGACTTCCCAGCAGTGGCGGCCTGTGGTGAACACATTACGTCCCAACACAAAAGGAAGGTGGCCAGGGACGTTACCAGTCACAGACAGATCTAGAGTGCCATCTTTCCACAGACTTTTCAGATCATCAGATAGGGAGTACTGCGGGCTACCCATGTCTGGATCCAAAGTCACACTTACTAGAAGGCAGAGAGAAGGAGAATGTAAATTATGGCGAAACCAGCAGTCGGGCTGAGAACAATACATAACCTGAACTAGGGAGAAAAGCGGTCCAGCTGTGGCTAGCTCCAAAGTCTGTCTAAAGAGCACCCTTCACTCCTCATCCATCGTACAGTGCTATTTTTCTGGGAATTCCAGAATTCACTGTGAACACTTCCCTTGTTCTCTTAGAATGGCAATGGTGCCCACCTGAGAGGTGCCAGAACTGAGTTCCGGAGAGTTCCGGATGAAAAAAACAACTGCCTTATGTACAAGTTGGGGGCCAAGTTCATTGTGCTGCTGTTCGGGGCTGCCTGGCTATTACCGTATTTTTCGCTCTATAGGATGCACCAGACGATAAGACGCACCTAGTTTTGGGGGGCAGAAAACAAGAAAAAAAAATATTTTGAATCCCAGAAGCCAGAACAGCAAGAGGGATCTGGCTTCTGGGATACCGTGTGGCTGTTCTGGCTTCTGGGATAACTGCGCCAAGCCTCTTCAGGGCAGCAGGATGAAGGCTCCCCCTGCCCGAAGAGGCTGTGCAGAAGCCAGGACAGGCACATTGCTGAAGGGGCGCTGGGCAGTTCTTCCTCTCTGCACAGTGCCTTTCCTGCAAAGGAGAGGCATTGCGCAGAGAGGGAGAACTGCACAGCGTCCCTTCAAGTGAAGCTGGAGAAGGAACAGAAGGAGACCCTTCTGTTCCTCCTCCGGTTTTGCAGGACAGGCGCCTCGCTGGGAAGCTGGAGGAGGAATAGAAGGAGACCCTTCTGTTCCTCCTCTGGCTTCCAGGACAGGCATGTCGCTGAAGGGGTGCTGTGCAGCTCTCCCTATCTGCGCACTCACAGTGTCTTATGGAGCGAAAAAACTGTGCTTATGGAGCGAAAAATACGGTATTTATCATATTCATTAGTCACTTTTTCTTCAGAAAGGTCAACTCAAAGTGACTTGTGAGCAAGAGCGAGCACAACCTAAAATACACCAATAATCTATCTAAAAGACCAGATCAAACTCAACTAAAAGACAAGCAGAAAATTAAGATCGAGAGGCCTGGGTAAATACTAGTGTATTTTTGCCTGGCAATAGAAAACAGCGATGGCACCATAATGATGGTGTTGACTTGTGACCAGACCTTCCGGGGGGGGGGGTGTTCCCAATTTCTGGAATGAGGTACATCCTTTGCCCTCATTAACAACTTTCAGGAGGAACTCTTTTTAAAGTGTTCCTCTTCAGCCCAGCATCTGATGGCTGAAATGTATTATTCCAACTAGCCATCCTGTGAATTTGGCCCCCATTGGTCTCTCATGTTTACCTTCCTGCATTGGATATCCAGATACCAGAGTGTCTGTGGGGAAAAGAACACACATTAAGCAAAAGCACATAACTCATTCAAACAGTTCTTTCCCCACCCCCTACTTCATACTCAGACTTTTTGCCCATCTGCAATGCGTCCTTGAACTCTTCACAAAGCCTCTTGCCTGCATGGAGGACAGAGAGGCATGTGTGAATGAGTGTAGAACATCTGCAGATGCTGCTCCACCACTTCTCCTTCTGGCCCCCTCCATCACTGGAATGTGATCCTCAGAAGGTCACCCATAAGGAAACCTGGACTGCAAAAGCTTCCCTGACCCTGTCCTAGGTAACAAAATTCCAAAACAAGACCTAAAAGAGAGAGCCAGTGTGGTGTAGTGGTTAAGAGCGGTAGATTCGTAATCTGGTGAACCGGGTTCGCTTCCCCGCTCCTCCACCTGCAGCTGTTGGGTGACCTTGGGCTAGTCACACTTCTTTGAAGTCTCTCAGCCCCACTCACCTCACAGAGTGTTGTGGGGGAGGAATGGAAAGGAGAATGTTAGCCGCTTTGAGACTCCTTCGGGTAGTGATAAAGCGGGATATCAAATCCAAACTCTTCCAAACTCTTCTAAAAAGAAGCCATTTTGACCACTGCCCTCCGCACAGTTAACTATTGCCACCTTCTCAACCAATGCTGAGAATTGCCCATTCGTCCTGCCAGGCTGAAGGACTAAAGCAGCAGACACACACTTTTGGAGTACTATACTATGGGGCCATTTTAACTTTTTTTGCCCCAGCCCTTCTCTCACCTGTGAATTTTTCTACAGCAGAGTGCAGAAGGAACGTCAAATCATGCCAACCATAGAGTCCCCATCGCTTTGCTGGTGGAAAAGCCACTGGACTCACAAACTCCTCCTCAAATCTGGAAAAGAGATATTTTTTAAGCAACCAACTTCACAATACAGAAGCAAATGAGCTCAATCTGGACTATAGCCAGAGACCCCAATTCAATGGAATATTCCTGACCCCTACCAATTGCTGTATGCATAGCAGTGAAGCATTCTGGTTACCATCTCTCATTACCTGGCCTAAATTACAACCTCCTCTTCCTCTGCTCCAAGGAGAGGCTGTGGGGATGGGGAATAATGTGTAGGGTTTGTTCCAAGGTTTTTGGGGGTCATGGGTGTAGCCAGGATTTATTTGGGGGGTGAGGGCAGGACAACCACCTGTCATCAACTTCTCTGTCTAGGAGATTCGGAATGAAATGTCTTGAAAACAGTTGTTTTCAATTACTGTTTTTTTGACCTCAAGTGCTCAGAAAAATCTGTCTAAATCTTTTTACAGTTTCTACTTTGAGTTAAGTTTACAGTGGTATCTCAGGTTAAGAACTTAATTCATTCTGGATGTCCGTTCTTAACCTGAAACTGTTCTTAACCTGAGGTACCACTTTAGCTAATGGGGCCTCCTGCTGCTGCTGCTGCCGCCGCCGCCACGCGATTTCTGTTCTCATTCTGAAGCAAAGTTCTTAACCCGAGGTACCACTGTATTTATTCGCATTTACCCACTTGTCCCTCCCATGTTGGGTGTAGAACAGCAGCAGCAGCTAACAACTGTTAACCAAGGATGATACGTTCATCAGAAAACCTCAGGTTTACAGGCAGGGTATGGAGGTAACGTGGGGCTTTTAGAAACCCAAAGGCCATCCAAGCCTAGAACCAGATGGCAAAATGGACCAGAACTGGGACAATTGTCCTGGGACAAGCATCCATGACAAACCCACAATATTAAGCCAGAACTGCCAACATGTTTTACTCTGCAGGATGTGCGTTGCTACGGGACCCACTTACTTCTCCATGGTGCGTCTAACACCCTATAAAGAGAGAGAGAGAGAAGGAGGGGGAGGGGGAGGGGAGGGAGGGGGAGAGAGAGAGAGAGAGAGAGAGAGAGAGAGGTGTAGTTCAGTTCCTGCTTTAGGCAATTCTGGAAGATTTCAGAGAGCAATGCTCCCTGATTTGATTGAGTAGATTTCTATGTCGCTTTTCATTCAAATAAATCCCAAAGTGGCTTACAAACAATAAATAACAATAAGCAATAAAGAAACAATAGAACATCACAAATACAGCCTAAATCATATAGAATAATTAACCAATCAGCAAAACAATGATGATCTATAAAACAAGGCAGCAGCTAAAAAAAGAAAGCTAAACATCATAATTAAAGCAAAAGTCACATTATATGATTAATCACTACATCCATAAAGCAATATTAACAACATTCACAAAACAGCAGCTGATGGCAGTCTACTTTATATGGCAAAGAAGGGAACCTTTGCTTCCAACATTTTGTGGCACAGCAGTGAGAGATGTTTCACAAAAATTTAGCCAACCCAAAAACAATCCAAGCCTATATAAATATTCATCATTTCTTCCCAGGAACTTGAAACAGCCTATGTGGGTGTTTCTCTTATTATCTAAACATCAACCTTGTGAGGCAGGTCAGCATGGGAGATATATGTGGCCCTGCCCAACCCCCCAAAATTTTAATACAGTGGTACCTTATTTTGAGTCTGCCTCGCCAAGCCTCCATTTTGTCGAATGTCCGCGGCAAACCCGCAAGTCCCGGAATGAGTTACTTCCAGGTTTGCTGCTCATGAATGCACAGAGGCATTAAATCGCGCTTTGAGCATGTGCAGAAGCGCAAACCACTCTGCACAAGTTCACAGAGCAGCGCTTTGTCATGCATCCTTTTCGTCTAGCATCCGGGGTTCCAGAACGGATCCCGGACTCAAAACGAGGTATTTTTAAATGTATTATTTTTTAATGGTTGTAACCTTCCCCAGGTCCTCATGGTGAAGGATAGGTAAAAAAATTAATAGAGATAGAAATAAATAAAGTACACAAGAAGACATTCAGAGGCTCATCACTAGCTAGCACCAAGAAGAGCCTGAGAATTGCAGAGTGAAACAGTTTTTAACAAGGAGTGGAATCGCAAAGTGGCTATAAGGCTGTCTGTGGTAAAGTGAATTGAGAGTTTGGTACCAGCCCACCCCAAAGAGAAAAGCCCCTGCCAGTTCTGCCACAGCCTAACCTTCAGGAGCTCATTCGGCGTCCGGTGACACTTCTCCATCTCCTCGAGAATGCTATCCAGAAAGGCGACACGCCGAAAAAGTCTGACCACGTGCTTGTCCCTTCCCCGCGCAATGTCCAGCATCATCTCCGCATGTTGGGCAAGAAGAAGCTTCTCTTGTTGTGCCAGAAACTCATTTATTTCCTTGAAAGCGGACGTCATCCTTTGCTTGATGATTTCTGCCTTTGCCTTCAAGAAGCAGATGGAGATGTGTTGGAAGTGGGGATGTGGGGGAAGGAGCAAATTGGAAGACAGGAAGTCGGTCAGCACAGGATTAGGACGCAAGTGGTATACAAAAGGAAATCTTTAAACGTAACCAAAGTGCGTGCGTGCGTGCGCGCGCACACACACACACACACACACACACACACACAGAGAGATCCCTACAAAAGCACCTGAGGAAGGAGGGTACCGTATGTCTTTTAAAATGATTCACATACAGTGGTACCTCAGGTTAAGAACTTAATTCATTCCGGAGGTCCGCACTTAACCTGAAACTGTTCTTAACCTGAAGGACCACTTTAGCTAATGGGGCCTCCTGCTGCTGCCGCCGCGCCACCGGAGCCTGATTTCTGTTCTCAACCTGAAGCAAAGTTCTTAACCTGAAGCACTATTTCTGGGTTAGCGGAGTATGTAACCTGAGGTACCACTGTATATAATAATGTTCGCAACATGAAAAGAGCACAACCCGCAGCAGCGCATCTATGCACACATGGTTTGCGATTCGCCACTTCTGTACATGCGCGTGACGTCATTTTGCGCTTTTGCGCATGTGCGAGCGGCAAAACCCGGAAGTAGCCCTTTCTGGTACTTCTGGGTCACCGCGGGACGTAACCTGAAAGAACGTAACATGAAGCGGACGTAACATGAGGTATGACTATACCTTGGGTTACAAACTTAATTCGTTCCGGAGGTCCTTTCTTAACCTGAAACCATTCTTAAGCTGGGGGGCGCTTTTGCTAATGGGGCCTCCTGCTGCCGCCACACTGCTGGCGTGTGATTTCCATTCTCATCCTAGGGCAAAGTTCTTAACCCAAGGTACTACTTCTGGATTACTGGAATTTGTAACCCGAAGTGTTTGTAACCCAAGGTACCACTGTAATAAATATATTCAACATGCTCCCCAACCCCATAAAATGCATCAAGTTGTACATTAACAGGAATGATTCTTAACAGCCCATGCATATTACCCAGGTGCCCAACATGTGATGCATTGAGGCCAGCATAAAAGTTGTCTTATCTGTCACCAACAGTACGTTTCCAGGAAAGAACATAGTTCAAGCTGAACTGTTCAGGATAGGTAATATGGTGCCCTGCAGATGTTGCTGGACTACAACTCCCATCAGCCCCTGACAGCATGGCCAATTGTCAACGAAGGGGGGAGGGGAGGTGCAGACCAACAGCATCTGGAGAGTGCGGCATTGGCTATCCCTGCCCTGGAAAGCTTTCACTCCCAGCTTCCAGAAACAAAACACAAAGAAGCCCAGAAATATAACTATTTAATTTATAATAGGACCAATAGTAAAGGGTTTTTTACCAATAAAAGGTAAAGGGTCCTAATGGACTGGACCATTAGGTCCAGTCGTGGCCGACTCTGGGGTTGCGGCCCTCATCTCGCCTTTATTGGCCGAAGGAGCCAGCGTACAGCTTCCGGGTCATGTGGCCAGCATGACTAAGCCACTTCTGGCGAACTAGAGCAGCGCACGGAAACGCCGTTTACCTTCCCGGCGGAGCGGTACCTATTTATCTACTTGCACTTTGACGTGCTTTCAAACTGCTAGGTTGGCAGGAGCAGGGACTGAGCAACGGGAGCTCACCCTGTCGCGGGGATTTGAACTGCCGACCTTCTGATTAGCAAGTCCTAGGCTCTGTGCGTTAACCCACAGCGCCACCTCTAATAATCTACAAAACGGTTTGAAGAAGCCAAGTTTACTTGATCGCTTCCCAGTGGCTACCTACAAGCATCGATTGGCTTTCCAGGTCTGTGCTTAACTTGTGTGCCATTATCTCTTCTTTCTCCTTCTTTATAGTGTCAGCGTGCTGAACGTAACGATCCTGAAAAGAAAGAATGGGCCTTTTAGAAGTTCTGCTGCAAGTACTAGAGGGCGAGGCCCAAAACCAAAGCAACGACCTTCCAAAAACTAAACCCTGTAAAATGGTCCTCATTCTCAGTTGCTTGCATTTTTAGTCGGTCCTCCTCATTTTGATTTCCTCTTTCAAGGCCTTTGCCTCTTCCCCACTCAGTTTGCTCCTGGACTCCAATTCATTAGCTTCCCAGTCTCCTATGCCCTCTTCCCAGTCCTCAGCAAACCACACAGTGCTCCCCTTGTCCCCGAGGCCATGACTTCCGTTCTAGCCAAGCTGACAACTTCATTAGGCACAGAACATAAAAGAGCCTTTCAAATGACAGGCTCCATATACGATATGCCTTTAAAGAACATTGAAATAACTTCCTCCCACCCCACAAAGAATTTTGGGCATTGTAGTTTGTTAAAGGGTTGCCGGGAATTGTAACTCAGTGAGTGGTTAACTACAGCTCCCACAATTCTGTGAGGGGGTTGGAAAGCTTGCTTTAAAGCTATAATGTGTACACAGCCTCAGGGAACAAGTTCCATCCCTATCCACAGTCTCTAGCTCAGCCACCTTGTTTAGAGCATGCAAAGATTATTTCTCCCCACCCCTCAAATCTCACCTATAGAGCAGTGTTTCCCAACCGGTGTTCCGCGGCACACTAGTGTGCCGCGAGACGTTGCCTGGTGTGCCGTGGGAGGGAGGCGGGCGAGTCGGGCGGCGAGAGGCGGGGCGGCGGCGGCGAGAAGAGGCCGCCCAGCGCGGGGCTCTCGCCATCTGCCTGCCTGCCTGGCGCTGACGTCACGGGGCTGTAACGTGCCCCACATAGGCACACGCGGGGCGGCGAGCGAGCTCCCTCCCACATCCCATCGCCGCTCGCTTCGGCCGGCCTACTGGGCTGTCGCAGGCGGAAGCCCTGCGCATGCACGAGGTTTTCGCGCCTTCGGGATTCCCTTCACGCCTTCCTCCTCCCGGGTCCTTGAGAGCGCGGGAAGCGGCAGCGCGAGACCGGCCTTGAGCCTGGTAGGTATTGCGCTTGCCAAGGCAGTCATTTGGGAAATGAAAACTTGCAAAGCAAGCAACCAGTTCAATCTGAAGTACGTGTATGCTTAATATCCTGTATCTGAAACCTGTTCTGCCCCCTCCGCCACACTTGGTGCCATTTTCATCTACACATGCAGCAGAGTAAGTTGACCCAGAATAGTACCAATTCAGATGGCAGATGGGAGAATGACAGTGCTGAATGCTTTCCCATGTAGAACAGTCCCTGCAAATAAAAACCCAGCATATTTGGAAGAGGGCCTAACCATTACCTTCTATGCTGTTACTATTTTTTTAATTTAAGTTTATATATAGTCAATATAGGCACAGAGTTAATTTTTAAATATTTTCTAATGGTGGTGTGCCTCGAGATTTTTTTCATGAAACAAGTGTGCCTTTGCCCAAAAAAGGTTGGGAAACACTGCTATAGAGGAACCCCACCTTGTATTCTTGGACAGCTTCTGCCACACCCAGAACAGCTGGAGACTCCACGGATTCAACACATTTCGAGCAGCGGAGGGCCTTGTCGCGCTTACAAAAAAATATCAAGGGCTGCTCATGCTGCAGGCAGATTTCATCCTCTCTTGACGCTTGTCTTGCACACACGGTCAGCTGCTGGAACAGTTCAGTGACTGTGCCCAATTTCATGTTCTGTTTCCGACTCGGCTGAGGATTTTTGCACAGAGGGCAGAGGACTCTCCCGCAAAATTCCTCGCACTTCGCCACGCAGGGATGGCAGAAATTGTGCCCGCAGTCTAGGATCACAGGATCACGGAAACAAGTCTGGCAGACAGAACAAACTGTCTCTAATAAAAGCATGGACGTGATGTTCTCTCTGTCCATGGCTCAATTTTTTTAAAAAAAAAATGTGGTGCAGATTAAAATATGGGATTTGGCTTTTCTTATCCAGCAGAGTTTGGAGACACCTTTGACTGAACAAGTTGCAAAAGACTCTTCTGTCTTGAACTGCTCCAGTCTGCAAGTGGGGGGGGGGGAGAGAGAGAAGGGGTTGGAGTTATCATCTTGCAATTCCCAAAGGACAACTCCAGCTCCACCGTGTCAAGCTCCCGGAGAAGGGAGGGTGCAATGAAAAGAGCAACAGAAACAGGAGCAGGTGGTACATGAGTCTAGCCCCACAGAGAACCAATCCAGCAGACCTTGCCTCTGTTATTTAGTCACCAAAACATTCCACTCCCCCAGTTCACTCACATCTACACCCCCACCCCCAAGAATGCAGAATAAGGTGGAGGAGTTTTAAGTGACCAGTGAGCCAAAATCAGCCAGGAAACTCACTGTGTGAGCTTGGACCAGTCACCACCTCTCAGCCAGTGGGTTGCTAGAGAATAACATGGAGGAAATGAGACCCACAACTGCAGCCTTGAGCGGGGATATAAATGTATAATACTGAGAATTAAGGAACAAACAACATACAGTGTCTCTCTCTAGCCCACATGCCCTGGTGCAAGTCCTATATAATTAGATTCAGGTCATGGCAATTCTCCAGGAGGAGGAGTAACAAAGAAATATATTGTAGAATTTACTTAAAACGAGACACCTGTACTCTGTACGTGTCAATTAGCTTCGTCCATTATTGTACATCACTATCTATCATGTAGCTGTAGCACATAAACAGCATTAAAGCCAAAAAAGTACCAGCAGCTCTCAGATCTCTAGGGTGGCCCAAATCAAGGAGCAAAGCACCTGCCTGCCAGAAGTTTGGGGCTACAACTCCCAGCCTCATGAACTGTAGTCCAAAATCCAAAATCTAAAAGAGCACCAGCGTGGTTAAAAGACATTCAGACTGCGGGCGGCATCACCCCCCCGTAGAGGATGTAAACAAAGGATTTGCACTATTATGCGAACTGGGAGTCAGCCTAATTTGTATTGTTAAGCCCGATCCCCCTATTCGACGCAGATTTACCTGATAGGACAAACGCATAAAATAAAATACTTTAAAAAGCCACAGCTCAATTTACCTAGACAAGCAACTCACAGTCACCCCAAATTGGAGCCCTGGAAAGGAGGCTCTCCCGTTTAAAAGCAGCAGAAACTGCAGCCTCCGCAGTGGAAAACTTCGAAGACTTTTGACGAACAAACGCAGGAGCGGAATGAAGTTGCAAGCAAACAAGCGTTGCAAACTCTCTCCCCTTTAAACACAGCGCTGTAATTACCCGCCGGGCGCGCCCAGTAAGAACACCGAACTACAGTTCCCAAAAGCATCTGCGGCACGTGTACTTGCCCGCTTTGCTGTCAGCCGCGCAGAACGGCATCACGGGAGCTGTAGTCTTTTCTTCCGACGCTTCTCTGATTGTAAAGAGAACGCCGCCTCTCGTCTCTCCCTCCGCGCAAAGGGCGCCTCCGGCGTTTCTGATTGGCCGGGATTGGTAACAGCTGTGCCCAATGGAATCTCCGCTTTCCCTTTCGCTTTGCAAGGCTCTGCCGAAGAGCCGGGAGAGGCGTTGCACGTGAGAGGCGTAGCAAGCGCCGCCATGCATTCTCGCGGTTATATCGCTCCGCGTAGCTCAGCTTCATTATGATAGTATAACCTAGCGCTACTGCTTTTTCTACGAAGGGGCCGCCGGGCTTATTTTGCATTCATTGACAAGTCCTTTTTTAAAAAGTGGTAGACATGGGCAGATGCCAAAAGGGAACGGGGCTCCTTCACTTTTCAAGTTTGCTCGGGTTAGGAGACAAATCAACAGGTGTAACAGGGCACGCAAATTGCAAATGACGTCGACTTCAATCTTCCCCCTCCTAATTTGCACAGCTGTTCAAGGTGCAGAAGCCCTCTCCTCTTCTGCATCTGCTGGCCACCCAAGTTCAAAATCGCTGTATTCCCCACCCCCCACCCCCATTTAATTTTCTGTTCTTGATACTGTTTGTTATCCCCATCCCAAATCCGAGCATAAATGCTCCTGCAATAACTGTGTTTGCAAACTGTGGTTTGCTGATGAAGCGGATTCTAACCCGCAAAACTTCATGCTATAAGAAGCCTGTTGAGATTTAAGGTGATACCCCCAAACTCTTTGCTACTTCTCTTAAAATTATGGAATAAACTGCTCCCGCCTCTGCAGGTACCAAACTCTGCCCCACCTTCACCTACTTGGGGGCTTCCCTGGCATAGGCGCCGACTCCATGGGGCCTGAGGGGGCCCGAGCCCCCTCAAAAATTTAAGAAAATTATTGGGCGCGCGCAGCGGAAACGTCCTCCGCCGGTGACGTCACCCGGGCCTTGCGGAAAAGGCGCTGAGGGAGTCGCCGCCGCCGCGGGGCCGCTGCAGAAGGGTGAGTGGCGAGGGCGGGACGGGGCCGTGCGCTCCTTTCCTCGGCTGCCCTCATCACGCGCCTTGGCTCCCGTGGCCGGCTCCCGCCGCCGCCTCTCCTGGGGGCGCCGCCTCCCCGGGCGGGAATGCTGCGGGTGCGCGAGGGAGGAGGGCGGCCCCCGGGGGCTGGGAGAGCCGGGCTGCCGTGGCCGAGAGGGCTGCTCTGCCGGGCGCCGCTGACATTGGAACTTAGAAAACTTCCCGGGGCAGGACCCCGGTATGGGCCCCCCCAATATTTTTTATAAGTCGGCACCCCTGTTCCCTGGCTTTCTTTTTTGGCCCACTTAGGACCAGTCTGGATGGTTAGCCTTGGTGAAGACTTGACGTTTTCATCCCCAAAAAAGTTTACGAGTTTCGAGTTTCTGCTGAAATGAGGCTTCATTTTAATGTTGTATTTTAATCTTGTATTTTAAGTTGTATTTCAATTGTTTTATATCTGGTGTTAGCCACCCTGAGCCGGGGAGGGTGGGGTATAAATAAAATTTATTATTATTATTATTATTATTATTAATTGTAGGATAGTGTCTCTACCAGACTCGCTCAAATGCAACTCACACATTTTATTTATTTCACAAAATTTATCAGCACATGATTTCAGGAAAAACTTCAACATGTCATTTTTTAAAAAAAAAATATTTTAAATACCCAGAGTCAGACTTTTGGGGAGCTGCAATCTGTCACTTTTTCTATAAAGCAGAGTTGAGTTGAAAGCTGCTCAAAGCTTCCACCAAGAGGAGCAGGACCCAAACCCATCCCTTTCAGCCCCGTCTCTCCCCCCCCCCCACCATCTGTTTTTCTCCCTTCCTTGTCAGTATGCGGATGATACCCAGCTCTACGTCTCTTTCAAATCGGAACCAGTGAAGGCAGTGAAGGTCCTGTGTGAGTGCATGGAGGCGGTTGGAGGATGCATGGCGGCTAACAGATTGAGGTTGAATCCTGACAAGACAGAAGTACTGTTTTTGGGGGACAGGAGATGGGCATGTGTGGAAGACTCCCTGGTCCTGAATGGGGTAACTGTGCCCCTGAAGGACCAGGTGCCCAGCCTGGGAGTCATTCTGGACTCACAGCTGTCCATGGAGGTGCAGGTCAATTCTGTCTCCAGGGCAGCTGTTTATCAGCTCCATCTGGTACGCAGGCTGAGACCCTACCTGCCCACAGACTGTCTCGCCAGAGTGGTGCATGCTCTTGTTATCTCACGCTTGCACTACTGCAATGCACTCTATGTGGGGCTACCTTTGAAGGTGACCCGGAAACTACAACTAATCCAGAAGGTGGCAGCTAGACTGGTGACTGGGAGAGGCCGCCGAGACCACATAACACCGGTCCTGAAAGACCTACATTGGCTCCCAGTACGTTTCCGAGCGCAATTCAAAGTGTTGGTGCTGACCTTTAAAGCCCTAAATGGCCTCGGTCCAGTATACCTGAAGGAGCGTCTCCACCTCCATCATTCTGCCTGGACACTGAGGTTGAGGGCTTTCTGGCAGTTCCTTTGCTGCGAGAAGCGAAGTTACAGGGAACCAGGCAGAGGGTCTTCTCGGTAGCGGCACCCGCCCTGTGGAACGCCCTCCCACCAGAAGTCAAAGAGAAAAATAACTACCAAACGTTTAGAAGACATCTGAAGGCAGCCCTGTTTAGGGAAGCTTTTAATGTTTAATAGGTTATTGTATTTTAGTGTTCTGTTGGAAGCCGCCCAGATGGGCGGGGTATAAATAATAAATTACTATTACTACTATTATCATTATGTTTCCACTTGCCCATCACATGGAATTAGGCCAAGGGCTGAATATGGCCTTTGGAATGCAGGCTCCCAACCCCAGCCTTAGAGCACTTATGGGGAACATTTATGCCCATCAGCCCCAGGAAGCATGGTCCAGAGCCTGGGATGATGGCCGCTGCAGTTCAGCAACATGAGGGAAGCCAAAGGTTCCTCACCTTCCTTAGAGGAAGGACAGAAAGCAAGCAGGATTCAAGGGAGATATATGCACCTGCAATCGTCTTTGAGCTTGGAAAAGAAAACAAGGCAGCCATAAGAAAAACAGAAGCCTTTAATACATCTTGGCTTAGCAAAAATCATCCCAGAAACACGTCCACTCTTCCACATAAAACCTACGAACAAAAGTTCTCTTTAAAAAGCTAACGTGCAGATCAGCTTTACTGTTTAACATGCAAAATAACTGTGAAAATATGTGTTTTCACCCCCTTGAAATATAAACAGTGTTAGGATTGGTTAAGGTTTCATTTCAACCCCAGAATCCCCTTCATTGGAGGAGGGAGAAGCCAAATCAGCACACTGAATGTAGCCTTTTCCCAACCTTGTAACCCTCCAGATTATAATATAGGGAACCTTTGTCTCCCCCAGGAGTTGCTGAACTATAACTCCCAGCAGCCCCAGTAAGCATCATCAATGGCCAGGGATGACGGGAGGTGTAGTTTGGCAATACCCAAAGGTCCAAAGGTTCCCTACATCTGCTCCAGATACTTCCAGCTACAACTCTCATCAGTCTCAGTCTGGTGGGAGTTGCAGTCAAAACATCTGGAAGGCTGGCCTAGAAGCAGGGTTTCCCAAACTTGGTTGCCCAGCTGTTGTTGGACTACAAATCCCATCATCCCTAACTAGCACGACCAGTGGTGTCAGGGATGATGTAGTCCAAAAACAGATGGGAGAGCCAAGTTTGGGGGGCTAGCCTAGACCAGCCTCCCTGGGAAGACATGAAAGTGAGTTGCTTGTGTTCTGCACTCCATCAACCACTGAGATGCGCAGCAGAATCAATGTCCTAAGTGGCCAAAGCCCTAAAGTGGGAAGAAGTTTCTGACTGCCTTAGCGGGGCAGTGTTAGAACAGCTTTATTGGAAACATGAAAGAAGGGGAGGAAGGACTCTCTGGCGATGGTAGTTATCGGGGTCTGGAAAAGCAGGGCTGCATCGTCTGCATCAAAGAAGGCCACATGCCTCCCGTCGCAGTTCAAAGACACTCGAACTTTCTTGAGCTCCCGCACAGAGCTCAGAGGAGGGAAGTCGGGGGGGTTGAAAACCGCGTACTGACTTCCCCGCTTCCCTATTGCCCAGATCCCAACCTTATAGCTTATGGCAGCCACGTCCTTCCTCTTTACGGACTTCCTGGCCACCCCCACGGCCCACTCGCCCTCGCTTCCCACGGCAACGTCCCAGTAGTTCCTGCCCACGGCAAACTCCTCGCATCCCAGGAGGAATAGGTTGGCTTCAAACCGTTTTCGGCTCTTGGGCAGCTCTTGAGATTTGTCCGCCAGTCGGACGCTTTTGCAGTCCTTAGACAGGACGAGCCGGGGATGTGCTGTCTCTGGATCGAAGGTCACAATCGCTGAAAGAAGATGGAGAGAAATGATTGACAGTGGTGAGCTTGGAAGGGCTGGGAGGAGTAGCGTCACTATCTACGATACGTTTTTGGGAAATGGCTTGCTATGCATCTAGACACCTCTTAAGATATCACAGCCAAATTTTGCAAAATAGCTCCCAAGGAACAGATTTTTGCTTATGGCTGGGTACCATTTGGAATGAAGGTGGTGGGCTGAACCCTTCAAAACCATACTGATTTCAAACACCAATTTCAAAACTGCATTGAGTTTTTGGCTTGTTAGAGTTACCAAGTAACGTTGCGTACGAGGCTGCAATTGCATGACAAATATAATTTTACACATAGACAATAGTGTAAGTTTTATTGTTGTCTTTTTAATTGTACATATTGCTTGTTTTATGTTGCTATGGCCGTTGGCTAATGCGAATAAAGTTTATCTATCTATCTAAGTTTAATTGTCCAGGGCTTATTGGTAGGGCATGGAAACAGACCCAGTCAGACAAGG